AATTTTCTCTGAAGTTCATCTCTATCTGAAGAATTCTAAAACCTGACTCGACAAAATCGACCAAAAGCAAAAGGAAGTTTGTTGAAAAACTTTCTTTTGCGACAACGATTTTTTTTTTGATAAAAACTTTCAATGACCTAACGAGACTGTCTACAAGAAGAGATATGATTTGTGCCGCAAAAGTCAAGCGCGATTAATGTAAACCTGAGACACTATTTCAGCTAGAGCTGAGGTGATTAATTACAGCAGTACTATTATTCACATCGTTGCTTGAAATTGGACAACAATATGCATTCGAGGCAACGCTTACTTGATTAAGTATGAGAACGATTCCGGTTCTTCGGCGGAACCATATTCAGGTACCCACGCTTCCCCGATAGTAAATCGATGATAACGAAGCATGTCCAAAACTCTAAATGCTAAAATCAACAGAAGTACACGGTGCAGCGAAAGCATCTGAGCCGGAAACAAAGGATCCGCACCAAAATGTCAAAAAGCAACGCATAAGAAGCCTGGGTAAGGTCTGGCATTTCTCTACAGAAAGCCATAAGACTCTGCCGGAAGAAACTTTCTGAATGTTAATAGAAAGACACCGTAGGCCAATAAAGATCAAAGAAGCCCTTATCGTTCAAGTAACGAACAGTGTCAGAGGAAGAAGGACGTCATAAACAAGGTAAGTGCTATCTGAAAAATTATAAAGAGGTGCTACCTGAAAAGCTACAGCTGGAAAGACGTCGATCAAAACTCACGGCTACCACTGTAGCAATAAAACATACTCGATGCTATTTCGTCTTGCGACTATTATTTCGGTCGCTTAACGTTCTCCGCGTCGCCAATCCAGAAGCTGAATTGCTGAAAGCATGCTCATATAAACATTTGCAATTATATTTGTTTGTTAGAGGCACTACAGGAAACTGTCTTTTATTTTACTGTCAAAGTTTCGACCAAACAATCCTGGCGACCTTGCGTCACCTGCCTATCGAGAGAATAAACAACGTTGTTCGGCCAAAACGGTGGGAGTAAAATAAGTTAAAGACCTTAACGTCAGATTCCTGCTTGTATATATTACCATCGAACGTTTAAGATGAAGGTATAAAGTGCGAAATGTACTTGTGCCCTGACCATGCTATGGAGCTGACAGAAAAAACCGTTGGCAATAAGTTTCAATCTAGACTTTATCTTGGGCCTTCAACCTTGGATCAACAAATTAGTTACCGTTCTGATAACTGACCCAGAACTAAAAAAATTAAGTCACATCCTATTTAAAGCGTCCTTGCTATGAGACGGATAGTCCAACAAAAACGTGAACATCAGGATTGGAAATCAAACAGTGTTATTTCCCGAAAAAAAGTAAAATACTTTAATCTTTTCTACACTATGAGTTAACAACGACTGATCTAATCAATAAGACAGGCGAAAGGTAAGAATAATCCTTGATATACAGTATCCGGAAATGAAAAGAAAACAGCATCCACAAGCGATTTAGTTTATCAGAATTCAGAGATAAATATATTCAAAGTTCTGCACTCATGCAATCTTCAGTGCGAATGGAGAGTGACACATGACATGACCACTGCCAAGAGGATTCATTTACTCTATTTTACTTTCCCGTGACTGTTCGCCACTTTTCCTCACGTTCCCAAAAATGCGTAAACAGAAAGTATCAAGGGATACCGAAAGTGTGTACTAACCCAACTTTGCAAATCACACAGCCAAACAAATCCGGACGTTGGATGGCACATGCACTGACCAGTAGTCCACCGTTTGAAGCTCCACTAATCGTCAACCTAAAACGTTACATGGTCTTCAAAATGAGTCGCTGGCGCATTAAAGAAACTTACTTTTCACGTGACGTGTAATTTTGATCGATCAGGTACTCGGCTGCGGCGATAAAATCATCGAACACGTTCTGTTTGTTTTGCTTCATGCCAGACTGGTGCCATTTCTGGCCGTATTCGCTACAACCATGCCAAAGCGTTAATAAAATTTTTTATGAGTTAATCAGTGTAAACTAGGTCTGTATTGAATTCCTTAAGAAACCAAGGAATCGAGAAACAATACAAGAATTCAACTGCTAGTGTGAAGCTTCACGAAAGCAGAGGCAAGTTCTAAAACAAACAGTGTGCCAGGGGGATACACTATCACCGATATTATTCACAGCAGCCCTAGAGCCGGTTTTAAGACACTCAGCGAAAGAAATCTGCCTGAACATGGGTCTGTATGTCTACTTAAACCACCTGCGGTTTGCAGACGATATCTTGATCTTCTGAAGGTCACCACAAGAACCTCAAAGAGCCAAGAGCTAAGCGACGTCAACAGCAGAACAAAACTCAGATAATGTGTGATAACAAATGCGTTACCGTGTGACCTGTCGAAGTCAAAGCACTTAAGATAGAAGAACTGTAAAAATACGCCTGTCTAGGACAGCTCATCGCTGTAACCAAAAACCAAATCTGCGAATCAGCAGAAGATCAAAAATGGTATACAGCACTGTTGGAAGGTTGAAAAGGTTCTCATCCGGGAAACCGGAACAGAGTTTAGGTAAGTGTGTGCTTCCAGTGGTAACCTGTGGATGCAAAACGTGAGCCTGAAGGCTATTCATAAACTGCAGATTTCGCAACGTAATATGGAAAGGTGTATTTTGGAAATAACGAGAAAATATAGGAAGACAAATGAATGGGTACGAGCACAACCATAAGTTGCGATGCCATTGTCTGAGAGAAGAAGTTTAAGTGGTAACTGGTCAGACATGTTGCGACTACATCACGGGACCAGAGAGACACTAGACTGGGTTCAAAGGGAGAGTAAACTGCCAGCAGGATGATTTCCAGGTAGATGGTAGAATGAGTTGAACAAGTTCTTTGTAACGAGGTGGATAAGAATCGCAGAAAACAAAAGTTTATGGCAGACTTGGAGGTGCCTTCATCCAGCAGAGGAGGAAAAAAGTTGATGATGACGAATCATCACCGAAAACAAGACAGTGGCATAATTTAACCAAACAGGGTTTCACAGAGCTATGTTCTGATCTAGACGTTGAGTGCCAACTTCAAACAGGACAGACTGACCAAACGAATATTTCAGAAGCTAGTAATCTTTATATGCGAAGGTCCTTTTATATAATCGCAATAAAAAAATATCAACAGAAATTAACTTGAAAAAGTAGACCTGCAAAACAGGTCATTCTAGATTGTAATCTACCTTTTTTACACAATGAGAAGATTATTTTGAGACATGACTCTTCGGTTTAGGCAATGATGTTCCTGATCGTGTCGGAGGCGTATCTCGAAAGCTCGCTGAGCATAAACATGCGCATATGCAAAGTATGCAAGCCGAAGGAACGCACATAAATATTAGTTCGAATGTTGACAAATCTTCGCATGGATTTGACGTCTAACGTTAAAATTGTATTTAGACAGGTCATGAGTCTCACTGGATCTGTTGAGAAAAAAATCTAAGCACGTCAGAAACGACAGGCCTGTGAAAAGTCTGTGTCCTCACAAGAGTGCAGATGAGATTCGATGACCCTCACTATGTGGTGCACGCTGACCGCTGTATCAGACACTCTGGCTCAGCGAACCACCGCTCGCAGCTAATCACAATTTATCGAAGAAGTAATGCTTACCTGCCACCTCTGAGATTTGCAACAGCGTAGATGCCCTTGAACTCGTTCATCATAATGAACGGTACAACGCCAAACATCGGCACTAACGGTATCTCGAAACCACCGTATCCGTACAGTATTGCCGGACAATCGGGCGATTTAACTACATCCTAAATGATAGCAGTGCACAATTCACACCGTGGTGACTGACACGCCGCATACCTTACGATGAATGACAAACATAGGGATCTTGGTCCCGTCCTTGGTTGCGTAAAACACCTGTTCGGTCTCAAAGTCAGACGGCGATATACCAGGCAACTTCGTCTGCCACAGAACTTCGGGCACAGGATTCGGCTTCTGCAAGTCCACTCGGTAGATCGTGCCCGGAACGACGAATGACTCGCAACAAAAAAACACCTGGGCACGGTCAACGGTAAATGTAACCGACTTGGAACGACTTTTACTCTACCTCGGAATCGTCCTCTTTGCCGAAAAACTGTGAGACGGACCCGACTTCGAGAGGTAGAGTGAACAGCTGCTGTCCTGAGACAAAGTCGTGAACTTGCAACACGTTCTACAAAACAGATTCAGTCCTTAGCAGCTGCGTGAAGAACAAATACAACTGAAACTGTGAAAGGCAGCGTCCACTAGTAAAACGAACGCACCGTGCCCAAGTTAACTAAAATCATATGAACATCATCCGTTGCTAGAATTCTGTATGCTGATGTGCCAAATGGCAAGAAGAACCTATCCAATACATTAGACCTTTCTGTGTAACAAGGAAACGAAGTGATAGAGGATGTTTATCAGTTCAGGTACCTCGATTCCATTACCTCGAACGAATGTGCGACAGAGTTACAGGATCGCCCCTGCTTTCAGGCTTCTGGTAATCAGTCCAATATCCGGACCGATAAATAACCATCCAATTAAACAAAATTTCCCTTGTACCTTGCCTCAATCAGGTCAATGCAGCTATATGAGACAGTCGTCCTAACTGAAAGTCAATGATCGGTTGAACAACCTGGCAGTAAAGCAACAGAGATGCTTTTTATACGCAAAGGTCTCAAAATGATACGAAAAAAACAGCATGAAGTGACAGTGGATCCTGTAATCTCGGAATGCAGCAATACATAACCACGAAGGTCAAAAGCTTTACGATTGTAGCCCTAAGGCAGAAGACTCATCAAGTTAAGGTCAAAATCGCTCACACACCTCGTCATTCTAATCATGGATTTAACACTAGGAAAGTGAAGGACAACATATATTCTGCATAGGAAAGCCAACTGCACGAAAAGTAATCTGGTAGAAACCAAACCGAACCGAAAGGTAACTGGATGACTGTGGGCTCTGTGATGATACTAGGGTGTCTCGCACTTCTTTATTCTATATTCGAACTACATAGGACGCAGTTGCAAATAGGCTCATGCAAACGGAAAGCCGGCAGAATAGTGGAATCGAAAGCACCGCAACTCAAAGAAAACAATTGTGTCACATAGCGTCCGTAGTCAAAGTACAAGAGTGACCAAAATCTATAATTTTAAATTACTGGAACAGATATCTTGTGATAGAGTTCCCCTCAGTTGCTAGATTTCACCAGCTTCAAAACATTCACCTAGTCTGTGAACTAAGGCCAGTAGCTGTCAACGGACGAACCTTAGCGTCATTCTTCCTCCTTCGATAGAACAATTCTCCCCGTGCCGCACAACACTGACAGCCGTGGCAAGGAAAAGGCTGATTTTATGTGGAAGTGATTACACTTTTCTCGGTTCATATATTGGACAGGTTACCATCTGCACTAGAAGCGAGGGCAATTATCTCATTTAACTCTGATCAGATGATGCCATCACGAGTCAATGGCCCTGAAATGTTTAAACTGGGCAGCATCATGAAGCGCTTAACCCACCTGTTTCATTTGCAGACCAGCTATGCCGGATGAGTTGATGGTAAATTCTTACCTCCGGATGTTAATGAAGTGGCTGGCTTTCACAGGTGTCGCATACGGAAGCCGTCAGGTGATAGAAATCACTCCCGTATTGCTCGCCAGGAGAGTACTATATGGGTACTACAGAACTGCAAGACATCTAGCCGAATATCTTTAACTGTGCCTTTTCTCTAGAATGCGACCTTCACCTCTACCTGGGTAAGGTGGAGAACAATGTTGAATAGCAAAGCTGCACTGTCGGAAAAATAAATAACTCATCACATGAACACTCCACCGTAAAAATAACAGTAAAAGAATACAGTAACACGAAGCAAACATATGTACTATTTTACTTTAACGTCTTTCAGATAACAGAGTATCATCTGCGTTTTGTTCACCCTAGATGCCCATTGCAAAACGTCATTCGTCGCTTCAGGCACAACGGTTTGCCAATTTTCCTGAAAAAACGTCGTGACAGCATGTTAGTAAAAACAGAAACGTGGCAGCAAGCTACCTTCGCCGGATTGGTCACATCGATGCGAATAATTTTGAACATCGGCGCTTGAAGATCAGAGAGAATGGTGAAAAAAGGACCTTCATGCGAAATAAACTAAAACGTACATTTTCAAAAAAGAATAAAGTGACAGGACAGAAGAAAGTCTCGTCATTGCCTTGAACTCCGCTTCGAACACGTCGATCAACGGAATCATGTTCAGATGCTCTAAAACAAGCAGTTCATTGACAGTCACCATCATGCTTTCAAAATCGAAGCATCACCACCGGCACCGTAGGCAGTACCTGTGATATTGCCGTCGATCGCTCCTAAGGCGCAATAGTAGAGCAGATTCTTGTCTTCACAACCGCGCTCCACTGAACAAACGCAGTATTGTCCGTCTTCGGTAACTTCATTAGCACTAGAGAAAAGATTCATGACAATAAAACGATCAACAACGAAATCACCCATGGATGACGTAACGAAATCATTATACATGCACCACAATTCTCTAATCCCAAACCTACTAGGTGAGCTAACCACCAGAATAATACTTCTGTGGTATCACACCTAACGTGGTGAATTACCGCTGAATTATTATGAAATCTGTTAACTGCAGCACAAACGGTAATTTGCAATCTTATCGTAAATTCACGCAGTGTTTAGCCAAACACGTTATATTTTCAAAGATTCAAAGCAACATACGTTATATTTTGCATGACGCAATGCGCAATTAAAATAACTAATCTGAATTAAACATAGTTCACCTTGAGAAAATCTTAAGTTCGATTTCTGCAGACACTGCCACAAATATATGAAGCTGAACAACCAATAGTTTCTCAGATCGCATCAATTTTTTCGTACCAATGTACATTTAACACACATCCTCTTGAATCGAAGCAGCTGTCAAGTCTTGTTTTCACAATTCAAACTTCCCACTTAAGTCGTGTAAAGTCGAGAACGAGTCTAGAACATAACATCGGAAGCCAATGGCAAAAATCGGGTAGGATATATGACCCGTAACCGCTGCCCAAAATTCAACATCGAGGTAAACGTCAGGAAGAATGAGCAACGACTAATGCTTGTTGGCAAACGAGGCATAGATTATTCAGGTCGAGAGTTTCTTATGCCTTCTGAAATAGTCCTGTCCAAGGATACACACCGATTGAAAATTTGAACGCAACAAATGGGGAGAACACTGTAAGCATTAACGAAAGCACGGCGACAATTACTTTAGTCGTCTACCATCTGAAAGAAAGTTTAAGAATTTTGGCAAAACTGACATTAAGCCTGTAAGATGCCAGGAAATGATGTCTGAGATTGTCCTGACGATCAATTTCAAAAATTCAAGCACAAACATGCCAACGCTTGAACGGTACATAGAAATTTTATGCTTTCATCATTCTGAAATGAATGATCATTACTACTTTGTCAGAAGATATGTAGCATGCGAATTACGAACTAAAATGGTCATTCAGTTGCAAACGACTCCATGGAATTTCGCCAATTTTGTAAACATGCTGTATAATATATTCTATAGAGCTTAAATCTTACATTCATCCCATATTCACCTCTATCAGTTCTCGGTTTTCTCTTTTCTTTTCATTCTTAATACTTAGTCAGTCACCATTAAGGCAACAGTTGGGCATTCAAAGAGAGCCGAAGCAAACCACGTACGACTTTGACATACTGCTGAATTAATTTAACTATATCTGCCTCAAAACTCCGCCGATGCCGCTCCCAAGCCCAGCTGTGAAAGGAGGATGGCTGGAGACCGTGGCAAAATCACCACGAAACTTAGCCACCTACGTTTCATGGTACTGACGTCATCGAAAATTATAACGGCTCGGTCGTCGCTCGGGTTACAAAGGGCTGCGCAGGCGGTTGGGGGATCGAGACAGGCGCAGAAAAGTGGGGCGATCAGAACCTGCTCATCGCCCACTGCCAATGCGGGAGTAGCAGCACAACAACGGCTGATGAAAATCGACGCAACGACGATGAAGATACCAGTCAGCAACAAAATCGCTGCCTGTTCTGAAAGGAGGAGGCAGACAGCGCGATGCCATTATAGCATGTCTGAAAAGGCTCCATGAGAACGATACCCCAGGGGACCTTACAGTTGGAAATTGGAATATATCCTCAATGAAAGGGAAAGCGCATGCGCTAGACGATGAGGGCGCAAGGTTCCAAGTCGACATAGGTATACTCCCTTAAACGAAAAGCCCAGGGTTCTAGAATCCCGAACAACTGCGGGTGGAAG